TCGCTTGAAGAGCCTGCAGGCTGGGAGCTGTGCTGTGGTGGAAGGCTCTGCTCAGGTCATGTATGGGGGCGAGTGGGGGGACCAAAGGGGCTCTGGAATCAAGCTGCTGGAACATGGGAGGTCCAACACCCCAGGATTCCCCCAGCTTGAGCACCCAGGCGGGTTGGGAATACAGTTTGAGGACACACTACACTGTACACTGTAAGTGCCTCCTTCAGTGCTGCAGCCAGTTGATCCCACACCATGAATAAACCAGAATAGGAAAGCACGTGGGCTAGAGAGAGACTTGCCTAACTGTAAGCAAATGCAGTCTGAACCGTAATTCGATTCGATTATCTTACAGCAATGAAATGTCATTACTGTCACTTCCACAGGCCATCACAATGCAGGCTTTCATTGGGTTTGTATTTCTTGCCATGTTCCATATTGAAAACACTGAGTTGAGATGAGACCGTAAATTTATTTTTGTTTATCTAAAGCTTTTAGAAAGATAGAGAAAAAGAAGAAATCAGAGCTTCCAAACTTGATCTTATATTTCAAATACATTTAATTCTAAATTTGGGAAAATAAACAGCACGTACGGGACTCACTTCAGCTACGTGTGCAAAGAGAATCACATCTTTGCCAGAAGAAAGTGATTTATCTTCATTTCTGAAGTTCAGAAAGTGTGGAGAATGGAGGCTTTTAATGGTGTCGGTTTTCAACACTTCGGGTTCATGAAAACACAGGCAGTAACAGGAAGAGCAACTTAGTCAAGTGAGCACCCTGCAGCTGCAGTTTCACAGACACCTGTGATGAATGGAAGATTTGGAGTGTATTACAGCTTCAGTGCACAAACTGCAGACTGAAAAAGTAAATGAATCATAAATCATAAAATGCAATCACACTGCTGTTGTCCACAGTTTGTGGATGATGCTGTCATGATGTCAGAACAGAATAGATTATCGCTGTGGAAGTGATGGGCACCTGGATGTGCTCCGGTAGTCATTCAGACGCTCTGTGTGTGTTTCACAGAGTGGTTGGCTCATTGTGATGTTGTTTCTCTTTAAAGTTGGTTGGATTTTTACAGGCAGTGCAGTAAGCTACTCCTTTAGATGTGCATTTTAAGGTTTGAAGAGTGGCACCTGATGTTTAGGGCCCCTGATCTCTGTGCAGGGATTGGTGTAATGGCAGGTGATGCATCTTGGTCTCATGCTTGGAAAAGTGCCTTTTAAAAAAATCGCACAAGAACAAATCTCACTGTGAACAAGGCATTTTCTAGCCTACAGTGGGTTTGTAGTGGCTGGTGGTGTTAAAAGTAAAACTTGAATCTGTGGTAGAAATGTCTAAGAATGATATACCCTAGAATGTTATACTGTTGCGAAGTTGCTCCATGTGTCTTCTAAGGCTGCCACATGAAAAAAACCTCATAAGTCAGAAAGATGTCAGAACATTTGGCAAGCTGCAGCAGAGGCAGGCTTGGCTATGAGCAGAGTTGTTCTGCACAGGAGGCCAGCATATTCGCTTACCTTGCAGTAGGGAGAACCTGTCTTGGTCTGCTGTTGTACTCATGGAGCTGTTCCACAGCGGATCACACACCCTTTTGCTACAGATGATATGCACCATAAATATTTTATCGTATTGTATGTCTGAGTGTAAAACAAACACAGGTTCTATTGGTTCTGTTGACCCAAAGTCTGCCTGCAAAAGGTGATGTTCTTATGGTGAAAGAAGACATTTTCTCAAATTTCTTCCCAAGACATAAATGGTTTAAAAGCATTCATGAGAAGAGCCCTTTTTTATAAAAATTAGTCTTTGGACACAGGTGGTCCAGCTGTTGCAGTTGGTAACTCAGCATGTCATCTAATTTATAACACAAGGAAAACCTCTGGAGGACATGTGGTTGTCCCTCAAATCTATAAAGACCTCTTGCATGCTAAAGTGTTATTTTCTTTTTTTGAACAGTTTCCTACTGAACAAGGCCTAACAGATTGGGTTACATGTGGAATCTACTGTGTTTTTTGTCTTACTGTGCATATTGTTTCTGCTGTTAATGATTAATTATTAACAATTAATTACCAATTACCAACACCAGACAAAATGGAAAAAAGGGACAGAACTATAAAGATGAAACCCATTTTAAATACACAGCTACAACAGTAAAAAAAAGTGGTAAAGATTTTCACAAAAGTAGGCCTCTCCCTTGGTCTGTGGATTTCCCAGACAGTCTGGTATAAAAAAAATACACACAAGTCACAAGGTCCTTTGTATAAATTAGTTCTGGAATCTGTAACACTTTCCTGTGTGAAGACAGAGGACTGTTAATTCAGACAACCTGCTACATTACAAACCCCAGCCCTGTGTAATCCTGCCTGCTTACATTTCTGTGAGAGAGCTATATACAGTTTCATTAAATTCCTGTTAATCTAGTAATCCTGTTAGCTTTTCACTCCAGGAATTTGATTTAATTAGGCACTGGGTTTGAGCAGGGATTTGTAGGACAGAGGCATAAACCAAAGATCATTGTGTGTGGGGAGTAAGGAAATTGTATTTTCTCCTCATACCTGTATAAACATGTTGCTATAGGGGACATAGTGCTGGTCTACAACAAAAAAAGGAATTTATTGCTTTTAGTTTTGTTAAACATCTGTAAATCTAGAACAAACAGACCTGTTAAATATACAAGTGCACCTTATTTTTCTCTTTTCACATTCATGTGCTAATGCGTTTCTGAACCTTAACAGTGCTGTCAGTTAAATACTAAATACCAGCACTGTTTCCTTTGCAAAAAATAATGGTTGCATGATTAACATTAATTTTACCTGAAACTGAAGTGAATACTTGTGCCTATGAAATAGCTTAATTATGTCAATAGTTACAATAATAGTCTTTATTGTATTCAATTATATGTTACTGAAACCCCTGCAAAAGCATATATTTAAATTGTTTCCCAAAGATTTACATCAAAATCTTTACAATGAAAAGGAATATTAGGGATTGGAATTCCATGCAAAATTTTGAGACCACTTCAATGTTTGATTGTCTTTGTTTGCAATCATGTACTCATTGTGTACTACTGTATATGAGCTCAAATACAACAGCTTCTACTATTCATCTCTGCAAAAAAGACAAAGCAGGCTCTCAACAAGATTACAAGTACAAGATCCAATGCAGATAAAACAAACATTAAGGGAGGTCACTGTGGGACAGATTTATACTGGTTAGATGACAGGCTTAGCCGACATTATCCTGGATAAACATAAAAATAGAAAACAGTATTTAAAGAACAGAAAGTTCTCAGCTACGAATATCAGCAGTTACAGTCATTGTGTATCTGACACGGTGACCTTCATGTTTATATCTTTTAGAGGACAATAGGAGTGTTAGGCAAGCTTTCTACAAAAAAATGCATTAGGGTGTTTTTTTAGCATGTGGAAACTGCCTTTTGAAGTCCTTTTAAATGCTAGTCTTTCACCATGTTCATTATAATGTGTACAGCCCTGCAAACCTATTCTGAAAAAAACTGTTTAGATGTAACAAGACATTTTTGTGTTGCTGTTTTGAGAATAAACCTCGGTTACTGGTCTGTGAGAAGATATCAAAAACTCATTATATACATTGATAAATACTACACAATAAACCAACATGCACAATTCTTTACAAGCACACAGTTATCCATACCTGGTCAGTTGTGACATTTTTATGCCTGTGGTTTAATCATGTTGTGCAGTGTTTTTGAAGGAGCTATGATCGTGTTTTTTTATCCACAATTAAAGCAAAGTGATAGCAAAAATGTCTCCTACTTTTAGATTACCAACAAGTACATATCAAGATATAGTAACCATGTGTTACTGCTGTTGAAAAATATTGATTCACTAATTTAAATTGTCAGTTAACATACCGTGATCAGCTTGGTAATACAGCAAGCTGAAGAAGGCTGTGCAGTTAAAAAGCCAGTGTTCATGTCGAGTGAATTTCTTGTGGCTTAAGGCTGCAGAATGGCGCTTGTGGTTTAGGAGTGTAAAGCCGTGAACCTCTGGCCGACACAGGAGGTTTTTTAAAAAACAGGCAAGCAGGAAAGATCCCCGTGATCCTGATTGTGAAGGGCAGCTAGCTCTCTTAGGGAAGCCAGAAACAATAGGTGTGGTCCTTCCTTATGGCCCAGACCAGGCTAGCATCTGGAATATCAACAATGATTCTATTTTAAAACTATTACAACTTCTTTTTTTCCCCTGAAATCAAAGAGTGGTGCCCTGATAGTATGCAGTCTGAGTGACTTAAAATAAAGAGGCAGCTTCACAGTAGCAAACACGTATGGCCTCAGGCTAATATATCAGGCAGACGAAAGATGTTTGGACAGTGTGGATTTTAAAGTTAATTCTTTTTTTACTTTCTGATGCACAGCTCATTTTCAAATGATATAACTGTTTGTGACGGAGTATGTGGCGCTTGCTTTACTTCTTATTTACTGTTTATTTCCTTCAGTCTGTGTCATTACTGTGTGCCTGGACAAGCTGTTCAAGCATGCTCTCATAGTCTGTTCAGCTGTTTTAATGACTGCCCTTCACAATAGTGGCCTTCACTGCCTTCGATATATCTGTACAAACATCCTTTGGCACTGTTATTAGTCTTAGAAAAGATTTGTTTTAATGGTGGGTCTATATGGATTGGGGAATGAGCGCTGTAATTAATAGCTATAGTTGGTAACAGGGTTTATGATAGAACGGATATGCAGTGCTGCACTGCAACAATAAAGGCTATTCTGGAGGGTTGTAATTGTGAACTTGAAACGTAGCCCAAAACTGCTCTTAATCATTAAAAACGTGTTATCGGTCAGCTGGAAAGCAAGGTTTGCTGATGTCATTTTTGCGAGTGGCCTGAGGACGCTCAAAGCCGAGCAGGACCTGTGAAATTGTGCAGAGTTAAGGAAGATGGTTAAGTGCTGTTGAACCCCCAGTATGGATATGCTTCACTCCACTGAGAAGGGCATGGAAGAGTGTTTCAGCTTTTTTAACACTAAAAAAAACTTGTTTGTGAAACCTAAGTCTAAGCTAACCATCTTTGTTTGCAAATAACTGTGAGTATGCATTGCTCAGTAGGCGCAGTCATTGTGTGAATATCTGGATGTAGTAGCTGCAGGAAGGGAAGGGTGATGCTGTTGGCTTTGACCTTACTGGTTTTGTGCCCCTGTGTGGGCTGGGCTATGTTGCTATTGAATTAATATCACCCATGTGTTAGCACAGTTAATGTGCAGGAAGTCCTGCTGATGAAATATCAAGCAAAAGCTCAGAGTTACATACGCTCCAGTGGGACCTAATTCAGACCTGACCGAGCAACGTCAAGGAACCTGTCGAAAGCTAAAGGTCATCTTTAAAATGAACACCCGGTGGCTGAGGGAATCTAATCCCTGTTAGAACCGCTTTTATGTCTCTGTGTATCAACACCAACCAAAGATATTAGCTTTATGTGTGGCTTTGAAAGCAGAGAAGGGGGAAAGAGGCATTTTTACTCTGCCTTGGAATATTAGACTTTTTTACATTCAGTCACAGTTAGGGCACTGTGTAATTTGAGGCCTGAAGTCTAAAATCTCAATGCCTCTGTTATTGCTCAAAAGTGAATGCTGAAAATACCTGTACATTCAATGCAATATGCAAGAGTTTGATAAGTGTCATCAATTTCTTCCAAACGTTTGAATTTTGGGCAACATTTCCCTTCAGGACAATGCACTGTAAATGGCCATATACTGTATGCCAGGAAAAATGTTCAGATAACAGTGATATATCACGATCCCTAAATATAATTTTTGTCCTAAAACACAGCAATACCATCTAAAATTGTCTACGTTTTGTAGAAGTCCTAATCCTAACCCTAGCTAAGGTTTATCAGTTAGGGTTAGGGTTCAGACTTTCTTCAGAGTGTCCACAATCTTCCACTCGTTTAAGTGGAAAACATACTTCCCTACAAACTCCAACAGATTTTCAGTCACCTGGCCTGTCTGTGCAACAGAGACAAAGAGGCCTTAAAATAGCCCTGTGACTGTCCTGTTACAGCCTGCCAAGGTCACAGTTCTGTGTTCACAAAACTGAGAAAGTTGCAAAGTAAGTCAAATCTGCAATAAACCTCAAATAAGCCACTAAAAATTTGCCATAAAAAGTGATCCAGTTCATCTGATGGGGCAGCTTAAAAAAAATGTGAGGTGTCTCCACAAGCCTTTCACCTGTAGCACCTGGTGCTACTGCGAGTCTGTCCCAAGGCCTGAACCCAGGACGGGACTAGAGTCGCCAGCCTTTGAAAAAGATTGCTTGATTGAAGAAAGCCAAACGCGATGACACCAGTTTGTTTTTCTTATGATGACCTCGCGACCTTGTCAGTTCACTTTCCAGGGCAAGATGTTTTGAGTTTAAGGAGACATTCTGCCCCCAGGAGGGGCTGAACCTACCAAGAACCTGATGAGTGACAGGGTGTATGAAGATCCCTTTTATCGCTGTGTCAGAAGGGTGGTTTGTTTCTCATGTCACTGATCATGCAGTAATAAACAAGGGAAAATGTGTATCTCAGGACCTATCATTCCTCAACAGGATGGAAAAGCACAGAAGATTTTTGGGGGGATTACATGGAAACAGAATTAGACATTTCTGGCTGAAACAGAATTCAAAGACAATCACAGGTTAGAAGGCCTAACTGAAGAAATGGGCTTCTACTAAAAAAAAAAATTGTTGGATTTTTATTTTATATTGAGTCTGAATTTCAATGTCTGATCTTATCTTTAAACATTTTTAGGCCTCTCTCCAGCTCCATTTATGTCACCCATTCCATCTTACGTACTTCCACTGAAATTTTCATTTAGCGCTAATCAGTCAAATCCAGGCACACCAGAACCATTAAAAAAGCTTTGTTCGTTTTAACCCGTTGTTCTGACGGGTTACAGAAGAAAGATTTGGTCATAATTGTTTCAGTAACTGCAATCCACTGAATGTTGCGATTTAGAACATTTCACTACAGTCTCATCAGCAGTTAAAAAGCTTTAAGAAGTTAAACATAAACATATAGGGATATGGGCATGGGGAGTACTGAGGATTTCAATCATCATTAAGGAAAGCTGAATATCTAGAGGTGATTACAATTATTGATCATGCCTTAGTAATGAATGTTCAGTGATACTGTAGCTTCTCGGATTGTGTGTTTTTAGAATGGTTGTCACTGAAAAAGCTCGAGAACTGTGAGCAAACTAGTCCGGTGAGAAACCAGTGAGTCAGTGGACTCTGCTGGGAAATTCTTGTCATCTTCCCTGGAGGAAGGCCTCTGGGGCTCAGATAAGGTTTGACGGAAATTCTATGGGAAAAACAAAAAATATTTCGGTTTCCTTCGCAGGCATTCAGATGTTTGGGGAATAACTAAAGAAGTAATGTAATGAATTGGCTGTTCATCCGTATATTACATTCTGTGCTTACCTATTTTGTCTTTATGGTACAAAGGCAGTACCTGTAGCTTACCACCGCAAAGCCAGTCCGATTTCCATGACACACCAGGTGGAGCAAGTGCAGGGTTATATCGTGTATGCTCTCTGGCCAAAGGGTTTCAGAACAAAAAAAACAGGAATGTAATTCTCCTTATGTCCTCACACGTTGCATTTTTTTGTGGCTGCATGCATTTTAAACAATCATGACAATCTGCTGAATTCCTTTTGGACTGACATGTCAGAAGCTGTGACACCTGTGGCTGTGATTTCCACTATTTAGCTTAAGTATATCAATAACTTGTAATCATTCATCAAGTGGTCGGTCATTTTTTTTGTTCGAATTGTTTTAATATAAATTGTCCAAACACGTTCCCAATTTTACAACATTTACATCAATATTACATTTAAAATGTAATGTACACTAGCTGTGTACTTGGTACATACTGCTTTGAACACAAGTATATATGGTTATGCTTTGTTTAATAAAAATGCTCAGGCTTGTTTTTATCAAATTGAACAGCTTTGCTATATTCATACTGAGAAGTTCTGTCACTTGTATGTACTGTATATATTGCTCCATGCAAAATCGACAGGTACACAATTTGTATACTGTATCCAGCATTCTTGTAATATTTTGTTTTATAGTGTAACACAAATAAGTACAGTCCAACAAAGGGCATTGTTTGAAATCACTGGTAATACATTTATTCTGCTGACAGTCATATTCCTTAAATTCTTGGTAAAGGATCCATTTGAAGTAGGTGGAGTGAACCTGCTGTCATATTCCCCATATAACCCCCTGTCATATTCACAGGCAAACTGCCCAGATTAACAGTGAAAATACAAATAACCTCACTTATCTGGTCAGGATACTTCTGTGACCACACCATGGGCTCAGTGATAACAAAAAGCACCCCCCCCCCCATCAGAAGGTATTCAGAAAACATGCTAAGCTTGTCCTCCTGATTTACAGAACAGAAGAACTGTAGTTATGTAAGTTTGTTGTAAATATTTATTTTGCAAAGCATTGCTTTAAAGAAATTTAGTGGAAACTCACATATTAATGTTTATCAATTTTCCTTATTTATTCAATTACTTTTTAACTGTGACCTATAAATAGCATATCTTAATATTCCTATATGCAAAGGTCTCTATTAAGAGTTAAATGACTGGCCAGTAATGTATTATACAGTAGGTGCTGCTTTATCATGTTGGTCAAAAAATAACCTTTACCATCATACAGAGTCCACGGGCCAGACTTTCCCAGCTGGGCAATTTTGTCTTCATCTTTAAATGTTTTATGTGTTGTATGTTGTGTTTTAAATTTAAATGCTTAATATTCATCTAACATTTGAACATTCTAGTATAAATGTATTATACAAAAATAAATACTATATATACTGTACAAAACACATATACAGAAAAAAAAATGAAAACATGAAACTGAGGTCACAAACAGGCATAGACTCCTGACTTGCCCAGGCATATTAATCTTGGCTTGTCCGGGGGCTGTTATACAGTGCTGGAAGTAACAGTGAATTACAGAACTCGGGCACAATCTTCAACCACACATGGGCTCACAGATGTCATCTTAGGCTGAGAGGTCGACATAGTCTCTGGAGTACATCCGCTATTTGTAATAGACATCTTGTTCAGTTTACTTCCTGAATCTCTTTGTTAAAAAAAATCAAATAAAAAAACAAAATAATATAACTATGATAAGTTAAAACGACAATTGTAATACTTTAGTCATAAATTTGGCCTTTAGTTGAGTCTAAGTCCCCACATCTCTTCCCCTTCAGCTCTGCTTCAAATGTTATGGAAGCCACAGAACAATGAGACTGTAGCAGGATATGCTGAAGAGACCCAGAGGGTTGTGCACAAGTCTCGGGGTTCTGTTGAGAGGCGAAGTAGTTGCAAATATGGCGTCGGTCTCATTCCTCGGCAGTGGCATGTTACAGATATTCCCCTCACAGCATGAGGTGCACACCTGCGTTCATTAAAAAACAAGGACTCAGATTAGTCAACAGTGTATCTAAGGGTGAAAAACGACAATGCAATTAGTCTTTCCACATACTGACAGAAGCTTTAATTCAAATACAGTTCACAAACACTGACGTGGCAGGAAGTTTGACAGTTCTGCTTTGTCCCGGGGCCCTATGCACTACTGCCATGTTCCATTAGAGAGCAGATATATCTGCAGCTTTATCGGGCCGATAAAAGCCTGTCGGATAGATCTAAAGCCTAACCTGTCAAGGAAGGGTGCCTCCTGAATTCAGTAATAAGGCTCGGGATCATCAGGAGTCATTGTGGATTGAAATCACAGCCCCTGGGAGGGAGCAGTTTAACTGCACTCTTGAGCTTGTTATAAGACAGATCACTCTGGAAAATGCAAGGATTAAATAAAAAGCATATTTGACAACATACAATCCCCAAATCATTCACGAGGAATCCAAGAATCTGATATTTTGTGATTGTTTATTGAGTATTTATACAATAAGCTTTAGTTTAACCTGCCTGCTTGAGAGGTAGCCCCCTGGCCATAGGAAGAGGAGGAAAACCAAAAAAGAAACTAGTGAACCCAAAAACCACCAATGCAGAAACAGACACAATGTCGACATTGAATTAATAACAGAAGGTGGACATTAAAAGCGGTAGGACGCCTGCTTCTGAGCTGGAGGTAGGACGCCAGACAGACCCAGGATAGATTTTGTTTTCTGTTTTTGTGTAGGTTGGACCACAGTCCACATATAGAATAAAAGCAGTAAAAATGCAAGAAGAGGTGTCTGCAAGATGTATATAGATGTATCGCAAAAGTCAGCAAATGATCACTTAAATCAGCTGGGTGAGACTGGCTTGTCAGTCGTTGGATTGGTAGTCAGGGTTCTAGACACTTAACTGGAAGATAATGGTTGGTGTCCTTTAGCAGGATATTACACCTAAATTACACCAGTAAAAATAGCCAGTTGATGAAACTGGTATAAATGTAAGTTTCTTTGGACAAGAGCATCAGCCAAATTATTTAGCAAGGATTGGTGGAAACACAGTGAATCAAATCTGGTGCTTATTTTTGCATTATATAAAACATTATTCAAAAATCTGTAGAAATATAAAAAGATCTTAACGTACTTTCATTAAATATGACTTTGCATAAACACATAAGGTACAGAGGCTCTTTGGTTGCTTAGCACCGATTACTGAAGATACTACTCTGCTCTCTCATGATGTTTTGACACTGCTGGGCTGTTTCGGGTTCTCCGGGGTATGCTACAGTGTGTCCCATCCCAGCACAACACACGCTAAGGAAACCTCTGTGCCCAGTCAGCAGACAGGCCTGCCTCCCTCACCTTGTGGCCTTCAGGGCCGAGCGCCGCACACCCCGTCGACAGACAGTCCTCCAGGGGCACGCAGCGCTTCGTCACCGACACGCTTTCCCCCCGGGAGTCCATCCTGTGACTCGTGAAGCAGTACCTGGCTTCTGGAAAAAGCATGTTTACTGTTAGCACCCTTGCAGTGATGATCTGTTGAAAGAAAGGCGCAAAGAAACGTCAGCGGCGAGAGGTGAGTATACTGTACTTCACCAGGTTTTCATGCTCAGCGCTTTCAGAAGATGCAGAGACTTTTGAGACGGAAATGGCTTTAAAGAGAGGGCATCTGCCAGCCCTGCGCAGGAGTTGACAGGCAGACTGGCTCAAACCGGCAGCGGCAGGCCACTGTATAGAACAGCTGAGGCCTGTACAACCCAGACAGCCTCCCCCGGCCTCTGCACTGCTCACAATGACGAGGTCGGTAGAGGTGCGTGACGTTTATCTGTGAACTGGTGCAGAAGCCAGACTTGGACTGCGGTAGCTGAAGCAGCTGCCAACCTGTAAACCTGGCGATTCTCCGTTTTATTGCGGTTCTCACTTTTCACCCAGTAGGGTGGGTAAAATTAACTTTAACTCGTATATCACCGCTCGCCCACCAGTGTCTTCACTGTGGTTCATCTTATCGTTTGCACGTTTTAATGAGAAGCGTAGTACAACAGCTCTGAGGCGTGACCCCAGACATGCGAAGAAAAAGAAAGATCGAAAATAACTCTAGGAATAGTCTGTTCCCCAGGAAGCCTTAAGTGAAGTTTGCATAAGAAACAGCGGACAAGGAGAAGACACACAAAGAGCCTTTTATGAACAGGGCTACAGCTAATTAACTTGAATCCAACCATACATCCAGAAGGAAAAGACCCAACACACGACTCACCTCTGGGGCAGTACAAGTCTGGTGCCCATCGATTGCATTCATAGTTATCTGTTGCATTTTCACAAGTGAAACACTTGAACCCACCTGGGTATGGAGTGGCTGTAAGGAAAAGGAGACGTTACAGTATCAGAGGTGCTGTGCGATCCCTCCCTTGCAACATTCACTTTTGAAAAAGATGGAAAAGTGCCCCTTAGATAGATAATACTTTATTAATCCCGTAGGGAAATTGATGCACGCATTTTTAGCAAAAGAGATGTTAGTATCTAATTTTTTCCTACCTTCTGCATTAGGGTTAAAAAAGCCGGAGTCTCTCGGCCAGAAAAGGCCCCACTCTGACAAGAATACAGCACAAGGACACACTCGCATGCCGGGGTTTCGCTTCCAAACAAACTGAAGCTGCACGGCTGAGCCATCTGCTGTGGCCGAGCAGCGGGATTGTTCGCGCTGTTCCCAGCAGCCCTGACAGCTGGGGATCTGGGGGTCGTCCAGACTTCACTCGCAGCACAAAGCCTGCCACTCAGCCCACTGACACTTCTGCCACGCTGCCTGTCCTGCTTCGGTCTGGGGGAGGGCTTGTCCCTTCGGGAGATCATCCCTCCCCGAAACCCATCAGAAAGCAGTTCTCGGTCATCGCTACAGGCCGCGCGGCGTCCCAGTGACGAGACACCAGACACAGTGACAGTGTCTGCAGGGAGAAAGGCTAAAGCACCTGTAATAATACCTACTGGTAACAACGCTGATACTGACTTTGTTTTATATAGCACCTTTAAAAGTAGCTTCTCAAAGCGCTTCACAGTAAGAAAAAGATTCCAGGAGATAATAATACAATAAACAATACTACAATCGAACAATGGAAAGCAAGAGTTCTGAGTGTGGCAGAAGATGCACAGGGGAAGACATGGGCATGAATTTCGTCAAAACCCTGCTGAAGAAGGAGGTTTGGAGTTGGGGTGTGAAAGGGCTCAGGGAAGGGGACTCCGATATCCTTGGGGATAGAATTCCAGAGCTGTGGGGCGCAGCGGGAGAAGGCCCCGACATCCCTAGAGTGTGGCTCGGGGGACAGAGAGGAGGCCAGGGTCAGATAAGAAAGGCTGGGAGGTGGGGAGCAGGAAGGTATTAAATCAGACGGGTGCTGTGCTGCCAAGCCATGTGGCGTGCGCGTGAAAGGGAGCGAGGAAGTTGGGTTTTCAGAATGGTGTACGTTTGCAAGAGAGACAGCTTTTTGAAGCCTGTCCATTTGTTAGTCCATCAGCACAAGACATGACCCCTTCCAGAATCCCAGATTTCCACACCCATCACGCGGCACCAGGCCGCGGCTCAGCTCCCGCTGCGGTACGAGCCCGCCGAGGCAGTGGCCTTCATGTGGGCTAGTCAGCGTGCTCGCACAAGACCGCGGTTTCACAGCCGCTGCTAGAGTGAACAGCCCGAGAAAGAGTGCGCGGCGCTGCGAGCAGTGTGAGGAGCACGCTTAGACTCTCGCAAAGTTGCCCACAAGTATGCCTTATCACTCACATTCTTCCTGTCGACTGCATCCCAGTACGGGCCAATAACTTTGACAGATATGCTACTTTATAAAGAACCTGTGGCAGAGAGACGGAGAGTATGACGTGCACCACTGCAGTGACACATGCATTCCCCTCTGTCCTGACCGTAGTGTCCTTTCCAGGAGGATCGTGTCCCTCGGTCAATACTGTACTATAATCCTCCGCCTGGAACAGCCCGGGCTGACAGAACTGAGAAAACTCCAGAACATGACAGAAAGAAAAGGCTTTTCCTCTCCCTGTTCTTCCTTGGAAAACAACCACTTTGTGACCAATAAACACGAGCCTGAACACTTTTCCTGTGCGGTCTCTTCCCTTGCGGCGCACGGCAGGAGAGCGGGCTCGGGGCTTCAGCGCTTGGTGTCTTCCGGAGACGTGTGTGGCACCACGAAGCGGCCGGCCCGTCAGTCTCAGGAGCCTGAAAGCAGGGCTGGCTGCGGGACACACAGCTGCACGGGGTCTGCTGGAAATGTCATGCTCAGGAGGGATCAGCGGCTCTGTCGCCGAAGGAAAGTTTTCCCTGGGGTCAGCAAGCTGAACAAAAGCAGACCCTGCTACTTAATTGCTTCACTAACCACAGAGATTAGGACAGAATTTAATCTGAGCAGAGACTTTTACTCTTGGAAAGAAAAACAACCTGTAACATCAACCAACAGATCCGCTGGTTGTACCTGCGTGGATTGTCAGTGGGAAACTGCTCTATGTAACCGGACTATTGAGGATATTGGCACGTAAAGATAAGTAGAAACACAGGCTGTGAAGGAGAAGAGGCCGTTCGGCCCATCCTGCGGTAAACCGCTTGCAGCAGTGGTGCCGTGCTTTCAAGGTTTATTAGGGACTGAAGCGTGGGAAACATGAGCTAAACGATACCAGTTTCAAATCACCAGTGGCCGCATCTTATCTGTGCAAAAGCCCACACAGAACACTCTGTTCAGGCCACTCTGACTGTGACCGAAACGCTGCCAATTAATTAACTGCATTTGTACTCATCACTGTTTTATACCCGGGCACTCCAGTTCTTTAATGCTCTGATGAGTGCTTTCAGTAATCAAATCAACATTGATATTAATTCATCTTGGAGGGGGAAACAAATGCTCATTAGGAGCAGCACAGCAAGGAGGCTGCAGCTAACCCCTTCACTGGCTCCTCCGACCTGAGGGCTCGGGATACAAGCCTGCTGCGGAGATGGGGAGCGCCGTTAGCCACTGGTAGACGGGGGAGGGTGAATGCGCAGGGGCCTTGTGACTGGAGCCCTGGATGTTATTGATTACCCCCAGTGCTGAGCTCAGCGGAGATGTGGGAGCGGGGCGCTTCAGCACTTCAAAGGGCCCACGGAGAGGAGCAGCGCACAGCTGCGGCCGGGTCTCTCTTGGCCGCGGATCACAGGAGAGGGACAGGCCCCCGCCATCTGAGCCGCGCTGCCCTGGCCCCCGCCGCGCGGGCAGCCCTTCAGAGAGACACGGCGAACATCACAGGTTCACGCTCCCCATTACCAGGCCCTAATAACACCCTCCCCTAACCGCTGCTTTCAAGGCCTGGGCGCTCGGTTCCAACCTGGCTTATAGGGTTTCAGCAATCAGACACGGCTACAGACACAAGGCCATGCAATGAACAGCCAAGGCCAATGGCAAGGCTAGAGTCCCTCTGGCAGCCTGGGGGAGCCCTGTCACACCCTGTCATGAGGCTAATCGAAACAGGATCCGCAGCGCCTGCAGAGGGGTGATCTATGGAGCAGGTGCTCTCCGGCACACTTTAATCTGGCACCCGGGCCAGGCATGGCTCCCAGAGAAGCCGCTTATGTTTGAGGAAATATTTGGGTATCAATTAAGACTGAATGTTTAGAAGCTCAGCCACTGCACTTCCTTATGACACTGTGAACAGCAGGGCGCCCACATTAAAATGAGCGGCTTTTCTGTCGCGCGCCGTGGGGCTAAAGCACACTCCGTGGTCACTAGTGGCATTAGAATACGGATTCATACGAGTGTTATATTCCAGCTGAATCAAGGAGGAACAGGTGGCAAGTCGGGTTGTGCCAAGTCTGGGACTGAATTTAGCAAGAACTCTTGCATACAGTGGCAGGGGCTCTTGTAGAAATCAAGACCCGTGTTAAACACCTCTTCCAAGAGGAATGCATCTTCAATGCTGCACATTGGTGGTGATGGAGGAGAGTCCCCATTACCGGTAAAGCGCTTTGAGTGGAGTGTCCAGAAAAGCGCTATATAAGTGTGAGCAATTAGAATTATTATTATTATTATTATCTTCTCCAAGACCATGCGCCCATCTCCACACTGGGGCATTGTTATGGGAATCCTAGTACAGATGGGCTAAGAAGTGAAGTAGAAGTGCCTCCTACTATCCATCTGCATCAATTACAGCAGCAGCCTGGTTCTCCTTGTTGATCTTTGCCTCAGTTACGACCAGGCTCAGCCGTACTTAGCTTCTGAGAGCTGGTGAGCTCAGGCTACAAGGTCATGGCACTGTTTAACGGACATGTTCTTCATTCAGATCCAGAAGGGCTATAGTGATTTTGAAAGAATTTCATTTGCATGCAGCAGTGCCTCTGGCAGTAAATACAAGCCCCCGTTTATGTGCTGAGGTCTTACTTGAAGGATGGAGATAGATGATGTCTGTGGCTATGAAGTCCCGTGAGTGGACAGTTTTCAGCCAGTCGGTGATCAGACTCAACAGCAGGACCCAGGCCAGTGTAGGACAGGGTTCCATCGCTGGGTGCAGCCTCACTCATGCAGACCCAGATGGCCGCCTCCTGCTTCCCCGATCGCCAGCAAGGCACCTACAGAAACAACACAACGCCACTTTTATTTTTTAAAGAAAAACAAAAGATGTTTTTTTTTCTCTGCGTATATTTTCTGTGAACGCCGATAATGTTGCACAGCCTGAACAAAAAACAATTGCAAATCCAAATATGTGATAACATTATAAATGTTCATGTTACAATGTTCAGGAAAAAAAAATGATAATGTTTTTCTGCATCTGCAAATGGAAACATTGCAGAGCCACTTTGACCTTTGGGTTTTTTACTTTTCCATTGCACATTGTCCCTTCTTTCTGCCTGTTCCCTGGCAGTGCTCACTAAAATAAATGTATTCAGGCTGAATATTAATATTCTCCATACAGAAAAAAAAATTCTATGTTCTATATTCTTTTGAAACTTTAATCTGGCCCCACTGTTTTTTCTGGTCAGAGAAGACACTTGCATCATGTGAAAAACCATGGAAACAACTTACTGACAGAGGGGGTTCATATATGTGTTAGTCAAAATTTGAAACAGGAATAGCAAAGGTTTGTTTTACTGCTAGAAAGAAGCCAGGAAGGCTTGTATCACCTGAACACAATCGGCATTCCACCATATTCCTCCAGCCTCCAGAGATCAGGAAGCCCAGTAGCCTGGAGGATTATCTGAATGAAGGACCTAGTACTGTACAGAAGAGGCACAGACAACCATCAGCCTGAACCCACGTTATGAAAAAGGAATTACATCATGTGGAAGACATTCAAGGATTAACAAAAATGATGTCAGACTCAGAATTTCTATGACAGAAGCAAGGGGAACCCTTACAAGTGCCTTCACAGTGAGTGAATCTTGCAAACCTTAAAAAAAATCTTTGTGCTTAAATTAAAGACTTGTTTTAAGGCTCTGTTACCGTGATCATTCTTGTACGTGCAATTGAACTTCATGCTTATTTTAAGAATTCGACTGAACAGCACAGTGTTTAAGCAGTTGAATGTGGCACAGTGATTAGAAGGACATAAATATTCTATTTGACTTGCTTGTTAGGCAGGATCTGAATGATCCAATTTACTACCGACAGCTATGGCATTAAAAATATGAGGTAATTAAATGTAAAGCATATACACTCCTGCCTTGCCCAGGGGGAGATACATCACGAGCCGTATCACAAGCAGACGAAACAAAAGGAAATACTCCCCTGGGTGTCAGACTAAACAAAGGACTGCTCTCTTGGAGCTCCGAATATAAGACACCAGTCCTCACTGTGGAAATCTAGTCACTGAGGCCCAACCTCAAAAAGGAACAAACAAGTGTAACCCATGTAAAAATGACTGGGAAGCAATTAAAAACTAACAAGCTGTTCTCCCAGTATCCACCCCAGTATCTCCAGTACAACAGCAACGTGACATGTTAGCTTTTAACATTTCATAATTCTGCTTAAAGGCAAAGAAAAACTAATGTAATAGCAATGCAGGACATTTTTAAATGCCAAGAAGTTTTTTTTCTCAGGAAGAATTCATTTTCTAAGATTTTCAAGCCTAATTTCAAGACGTAAAGTGATGAGAACTGCATTTCAATACTGATCAAACACAATGCAGCGACTCTCCTTTCTGTCCAGGAGAAACCATTAATCTGTTTGGTGCTTTGCTGCACAGACATGCTTGATCTAAAAAGGAAAAACAAGCTAATTTCCTGCTAAAAACCTAGAAAACAATAGATGGAAATGAGCGAGAAATATAAATAATAAAAATAATTAATGCAGCCATCAACCAGTAAAGAACACAGTGCAGTGATACATCAATCCCAATACACAGTGCAGTGATACTAGGTGTGCTTTTGTCCATTATTGGAAATTAAAAACACAGTCTGGACCTATGAAGTGTTTCTCTGATGCAGATCTGTCTATACCCCAAAGACCACTCCTCCTGGACACTGGTGGGGCAGGGGTTAATTCATTATTAGACAGCTGAAATCCCCATTTAAGCCAATATGTCATCCGTGCACACATTAAACACCAGGCCCCAAAGTCAACAGTGCTCAGTTCGTCTTAGACAGGATCCAGCCTCCTGAACACTGGCCCTAGTTCCTGGCTAGCAGAGGCACGTTATCCTCGCCCCAACAAAGCCGGAGGCCAGCAGCAGTCCTGCTTGGTTTGTGGCGCTCCTAATTCTAAACTTTACTTCCATGCCAGTACCCAAAACAAAAAGGGCTGCTGTCCCGCGATTAGAAACTGCTCTGGTGAACTGAGACCAGGAGCTCAGAAATGGCCTCGTGTCTGACCCCTGTAATTTATATTGTCCTTCTCCACTTTGGCAGAAGAAAAAAAAACGTGTGTGTGTGTGTTAGCCGTGCCTTAATGCGGCATTCCTAGCCTGGAAGTGACCCATACCAGCCTGGTCAGCATGCTCAGATGGCTCCCCTTGCTGTGTCCCATGACCAAAATGTGCCCACATGTTTACCCAATCTTTCTGGGAATGGACATGTAGAAACAGCTTATTTTGACCTTACAATAACAAAGCGCTTTCGGAAAAAAGTCCAATGAGGAATTTAAAATGCAAAACAACACAGAGTTGTACAGTAAGTGCTTCTCAAGCCCCAGATTGATTGGTGTTTCATAAAGGTGCGAACTGTGCTTTAATTAATGACAATGCTCAGTTAATGAATGAATAAATAAATGTCGATTTCAGATCCTAAGGAACTGGTTAAGGTGATCTATCAAAAACAATTTTCTATACCTGCCTGACAGGGACAAATTATTCAATTCAGTCCAATAGTGAACCTGTAATTTTCTCAAATGAAAATATCAATGTTAAGATCCCTTCCATAGCCTACTTGATATACAGTACAGGGAACTTAACACATATCAAAAGAAATCACATAATTCTATATGTTTTCAATGATAGAATATTAAGCGGATCATCTCCTTGACAGTCGTATAAAAACATTACTATACCATAGATGAAAACTGGCCTAAGTGTATTTTATACAGTAATACTCTCATCATCTGATAGATTCATTCACATTAATCTTTTTCAATGGCCCACATCTTTGTGCAACTGCAGTACAGACAATTCCTCCCACCAAAAGTATCTTGAATTGTTTGAATTTAAACACAATCTAGAATGTAAATTAGCTTTTACATAAAACAATGAAAATCAGGCCCATAAATCCTTTTGTTGTCGTTCGTAGCCAAGAATTATGACCGTGAACATTAAAACAATCTTTTATAGCACTCAACAGTAATGCCATGTTGTACACAAAAAGATGTCTGTGTAACGTTAACAGCTCTTAAAAGCTTTGTTACAAATATCAAGCAATATTCGATACTAACTTGCTTAAGGTATTAAGGTCCTTGGTAAACAATCCTTTGTGCAGCCCACTGCCTGAGAAACCTGCTGCTGATCTTATGAAGGCAAGCTCTGCGAGACAGCAAGCAGAGCCCTATCAGTGCATCTCCTGCCTCAGGCTACTGCTATGATCTTGCAGCGCAGCACATTATATTAATGCACATAATAAGCAGTACCAATCTGACACAAAGAAACAAGAACAGTTTGAAGTGTTTCAAAAGCTGCAGTCTAATCTCTCTCAAGTGAGAACTCGTGCCCTGCCCTGGTATTCACCATACAGTCTGAAGGTGAGATCACGTGTTCACAAAGCAATGTATAAAACTACCAGAACTCAAAACTCCCAACATCATAAGATCGTAGATGAAATGCCTGACCTTCTTTTGTTTGAAATGTGAAATTAGCTTCCTTATGATGAATAGACAGTGCTTAGAAAAAGTATGCAGTGCATACAGTATTCATGCCCTGCTCATGTTGTCCCATTTTGTGAAGTTACAAAATTATCTATACACGTTTTAAAAAATGTACATAATTCCAAACACGAATACTGAAGCTGAAGCATGAGGAGAAAAAACTAAAACATGCTGATTGCATCAGTGTTAAGATTCATAAGCTCAGTATCTGGTGGGAGTTCCAGCTGCAAGTCCTTGTGGGGTCAGTCTCTACCAACTCGCCACCGGCCTGGTGTTGTTCTGTCTCGTTCTTTAGGCAGATCTGGTCAATACGATTCTCAACACGAATCAAGTCAGGACTTTCTTACTCTTAAGTCACTCCAGTGGAGCTCTGGTCTCGTTCTTTGGGCCATTGTCCTGCTGAAAGGTGAATTTCTGTCCTAGTTTGTGTCTACAGCAGGTTTTCCTCTATGATTAGCCAGTATCTGTGTTCCCAGTCCCAGCTGATGAAGCAGAACCATGACACTACGCCAGACGGTAGAGATGGTGCCGACACAGAAATGCTGCACTATGTTGGGTTTGTGTCAGATGGAACTATTGTGTCTAAATGCAAAGTGTTACTGTACACTTTGACTGATCTGACTAAACTTTTTTGCCACATGTTTGCAGGTGCTCTGTTGCAAAGCCCACTTGGGGTCGGATATTTTGAAGATCCAGACTAGCCCCCTGCGGAGTGATCGTCTGGACTCTTGGACTCCATCATGTGTCAGAGTTGAAGTTTCCTTAATCAGTTTCCTCCTTGCCTGGCAGCTGAGTGTGGAGGGATAGGCTGATCTAGGCAGTGTCCTGGTGCCTTGCACTTAATGCCTGACTTTATGTAAAGGCTCATTATGGGTCTTTAAACAGCTTTTATGCCTTTCTCCTGATCTTGGCCACAGCAAAGGGTTTGAATAGTTAGGCAATCCTTATTTTTCAATTTTAGTTTAATTATACAGCAAAATGTCATTTACTTACTTAAATGTGAAAACTGTTAAATGATCTGATAATTTTACAAGATGCTGTATAATTATTAGCTTCATTTTCATGTGTTAGTACCAGTACTACTTTTATTGTCATGTAAAATGCTTTTTGAAAAAGATTCTTTAGCTTAAGCTCAATTTAAGCTTTAAGCCTGTAAATAACTGTGAAAAAAGTGTTAAACACTTACCGAAAGAAAACAGCAAGTAATCCACATTCTTCTTAATCAGAAAATTATGCTTTTATCATATACCATGACATAACAACTTACCAAAACTCATTATGTTGTCAAATACTGTACATGTTCATATCCAGTATGTACACGCAGAGATAAGACAAACTTTCATCTTGCCTTGTGATAGTATATTTTTGTAAGCTGACGAACCCTAACCAAACACTTTCACAGCTGTTGGCTGCCAACAATGGCACTGTGCCTGTTCTTTACCTGCCTGGGATTTCTGAGCCTCCCCGAGTCAGTAACGAACTGGCTGCAGCAAGTGAAGATGTGATTACTATCATCTAGTGGGAGACAAGAGGCTAGTCCCTGCTAACTGCTGACCATCTCCCATGGGAATGAAAAGACAGGACTCTGGAAAACTGGGAAAAGAAAAAGGTGCTGTACATGCAGAGAACAGCACATCTGCCTCTTGTTATTACGAAACAGCTTGGTAACTCTTGAAGTGTAGCCAACCGAATATACAAAAATATTCCAGCCTCGCAGAGCTTGACTTGTCTCTTCGCTCCAGTGGAGTCAGCGCCACGTGGAAAAGTACAAGCTGACATATATAACACACGTGATCTTTCACTTCCCATTACCTGAAATGAAGACACCAAGATATCTGCGGTACTTTTGAAAAGGACGAATGGTGGAACAGGAGAAATGGCCTTTGTGCCACAGGAGAAAGGTCTTGGACCGCCCTTGATCTGGACTCTT